TCTCCAGGGCCCTTGGCTATATGCAGGGCACCAACTTGGGGCCGAACGTTCTGGAGATCATGACCATCACCCTGGCCAACGAGCAAGGGGCTCTCTGTCCACCTCATCCTCCGTTTTGCTCACCTTTCTGCTCCCTCCTTCAGGGAGGTCAGCAAAGGAACGGTCGCTGGCAATAAAGTATCACTGGATAAGGATAAGGGGTCTGTGGTGGATTTCTAGATCTAACCAACTATGTGACCATGGGCAAGTTGCTTTGCCTGATTCCACCCCGTTTGGAAAGCAGGCCTAATGAGGCAGCTCATGGTGCTTCGACGAGCACAAAAGCCACGGCTGACGTGTGGAAGGTGCTGGATAGAGCCTGCTCCATGGAAGGGGCTCGGTACCTGTGGGTTTTCCTTCTTGCCGAGATCAAGAGATGAGAATATCCCTGGATCTCAGCCTCCGTATCCTGAGCTCTCTGGGAGTTTTGGGCCCTTGAAGGTGACAGACTGGTTGTGGGCCTCAGGGAAGACTCAGGGCTTTGGGTTATAATCTTGTCTCTCTCCTGGGATGGCACACCAGCCCCAGATACCCATGCTAATGTGGGCACTGCATGCCTCCAGCAGTGACAGACCCAGGCAGCCATGTGCAGTAAACTGGCTCTCTGGGAGGGAAAATGCCCTGCTTCATGGTGTTTGCTAGTGTCCATGGTGTAAATACTCCCACCATGAATGATTTCAAGCTACCGATGGCTCAACAACCCACCACGAAATTCCTAAATATTTAACAAGTGGCTCTACCCAGCCATCAACCTCACACATTGGGTTGGCAGGGACAGGATCCCTGTTCTGGGGTCTCCTGCTGACCAGGCTGGGTCCCCCGTGTGAGTAGATATCTCAAGAACTCCTTTTCTCTCGTCTAGTCTATCTAGAGTGGGTTCTGCCCAGATCCACCCATTCTTCTCAGAGTTCCTCTTGGGGCTTGAAGCTGGAGGACTCTGTAGAGGGCAGGGTATGAGGCTTACGGCATGCCTATGGGGAGGGCTTGCTTTGTGCCAGTCTTTGTCCTGGCCAAGGGTCCCCATGTGAATTTCAGGGGTGGAGAGGGAGCGAGGACGTGGGAGATGTTATTTGGCTTCCCTCTCCCTCCTGCCAGACACCAGCTCCCACCAGTGCATGGCAGATAGTCCCATAGCCACCCTTTTTTGCACTCCTATATTCATGCCATGCCACGGTCTCAGCATTGGGAAACCTGTCCTCCACTTTCCTGCAGGCTCTGGGGAGGCCCTGGCATAGCCAGCTCTGGGCTTCACTGTCTTTCAGACTTGACACATTGGGAACAGGATCCATCACCCACTTCCTGGACCTCTTCCCCATTCATTTATACATTCCTTCAACCAACACTGATCTCAGCTGCCCATCACCCATACAGGGCTAGCTGGCTGGGGGATTTGAGGACCACTCTGAGGCTCTTTGTTTGGAGGGCTGGGTGGAAGGTGGTAGGAAATCCGAGGGAAGATACATGGCTGGAGGGGGTGGGTGAATTTCATTTCAGATGCACCAAATTTCGGTACCCACAGGACCCATTAGAGGAGCGGTTCAGAGGCAATAGACACTTGGTGTGGTGCTCAGGATAGGGGAGGTGACTTTGTTAATCCTTCTTCCAAGAAGAGTTCCAGGCCAGAAAGCCCCGAGTGATCTTCTGTTGTTCCTCGTGCTCAGGTAATCAGTCACGGGGTGCTCATGCGCCCAAGCCTTTACTTGGCTGTTTCCTCCACCTGAATATTCTCCTTATAGAAGTGCTGCCCTTCCTCCAGGTACCCGGGTCAAATGTTCTTCCTTGAACTCTTCTAGAACCCTCATGACGGGAACGGGTCAGTCATGTCTCCTGCCACCCTCACTTTTTTTTTTAAGATTAAAAAAATGCTTATTTATTTTAGAGAGACAAGAGTGTGAGCAGGAGAGGGGCAGAGAGAGAGAGAGACACAGAATCTAAAGCAGGCTCCAGGCTCTGAGCTGTCAGCACAGAGCCTGACATGGGGCTTGAACTCACGAACCTTGAGAGCATGACCTGAGCCAAAGTCAGCCCCTTAACCTACTGAGCCACCCAAGTGGCCCTTGCCCTCACTTTGTTTATGCTGCCTTGCCTTTTCCCAGGTGCCTGTGCTTGCCCCCCACCCCTTGGCTATGCTGTGGGCTCCTGGGGTCAAGGACAGACCCCTCTTGTCTCTCCTGGAACTCACCAGTTCTGGCGTGCATGCATGAATGCTATGAATGCTGATAATAGATTGGTAGAACCTCACCATCTTCCAGGTAGATCCCACCCTTACAGCAGTGTCCACTGCAGATGGAGGGCTGCTCTGTGTGTGTCCAGCCAAGCACACGCCTGGCCTGGGGCTGGGCCATTCCCTCCGGACAAAACACGAAAACGGTCTGCCCGGTGGCCTAACGGATCCCAGTCCTGTCTCTGGGGTGTCCCTGAAGCTCAGCGTGTTGGCTGTGGCCCCAGGCCCTCCGTATTCCTGCCAGAGCTGTAGCAGACGTAAGAGGGTCTAAAGGCCCCCATCTCACAATCCATTATTTTAAAAATTTGCTCTCAGGGACATGTCACATGGCTTGTGACATTTCTTCATTCCTTTCTAATCATGGAAAGGCAGAGCCGACTTGCTAATTGAGGTTCAAAGATGCTTCGGCACTCTTGAGAATTAGTCAACTGTGTGTTTCTTCACTAATTTTGAAATGGCTCATTGCAATTATTGATGAAAGCAAATTTCAATGTTGTGACACTATGTTTCCAAACAACAGGAGACCTTGGATCTGTCACCCGCCCCCCCCCCCCAAACCCAGGTGTTGATTCTAGGGCTGAACCCCAAGCCCCACTCTTGTGTCTGGTAAGCAGACAGGTCTTGTGTGATCAGACCTTACTCCGGGCCTGGCCAGCCTCCACACTTGGGACAGAGGGGCCCCACGGCTTCCTTGAGGGTCTTAAGGTCCAGGTCTGCCTCTTCATGGCTGCAGCCAGCTGCACACCCACCCTTCACAGTGCTGCCTCCCTAGCACTGCCCAGGTGTTCTAGGAAGTTCTCGGTGTGCCATGTAAGCAAACAGCCCAAACCAAATTTCTCTGGATGAACAGATTTCAGAATAATGTCTTGGCAAGGCTGGCCTGGTGAGAGCCAGTGTTCAGGTGCCTGTGATTCCCCTCACTGCTGGTACCTTACTTCTTCACCCAGTATCTCTTGGAGCCGAGCTCACCTTAATACACGTACAGGGTGGCCCATAACTTTCTGAGGCTGCAGTGTGTCCCCTGGCATGCATGATGCCACACTCCGTGACGCCCCCCAGACATGGCCGTTTAAGTTGCCTCCATTTGGTTAATGACTCGTGGTGCTGCCCCAGAGACCCTTGTGTGTGAGCCCTTGCTCACGATGGGAGTGTATTTCCAAGATACACTTAGCAGGATGCTAGCTTTAGATTTTAAAAACCTCTTCCTGAAATACGGTCCACTTATGTATGAGGACAAAATGTGACATTTATCAAAATGAGGTTCCCAAACTGAGGGTTGATGGGGGTGGGGGAGAGATGAAGGAGGGGTGATGGGCATGGAGGAGGGCACTTGTGGGGATGAGCAGGGTGTCATATGGAAACCAACTTGACAATAAACTATTTTTAAAAAATGAGGTTCCCACAGTAGCCAAATATGGAAAGAGCCCAAATGTCATCGACTGATGAGTGGATAAAAAAGATGTGGTATATGTATACAATGGAATACTACTTGGTGGTCAGAAAGAATGAAAATCCTGCCATTTGCAACAATGTGGCTGGAATTAAGAGTGTATCAAGCTAAGGGAAATAAGTCAGTCGGAGAAGGACACGTACGTGACTTCACTCATATGCAAAATTTAAGCAACAAAACAGACGAACATAGGAGAAGGGAAGGAAAAATAAGATAAAATCAGAGAAGGAGGCAAACGGTAAGAGACTCTTAAATACAGAGAACAAACTGAGGGCTGCTGGAGAAGGGGTGGGCGGGGGATGGGCTCAGTGGGGGATGGGCATTAAGGAGGGCACTGGGGATGAGCACTGGGTGTTGTGTGTAAGTGATGAATCCCTACATTCTACTCCTGAAGCCAGTACTGCACTCTGTAGTACTAACTCGGATTTAAACTAAAAAAAAAAAACTAAACTAAAAAAAAAAGTGGGTTCCCATCTCCCACCTCATACTGCCACAAACCAAAACAAAAATAAAACAAGAGTGAGGACAGCCTTCTCACTGGCAAATGAGGGGACGAGGGGACAGCCGTTAAGCAGTGGGCAGTGGTCACTTCCTCAGAGACCTCTGGCTCTGGTTTCTGGGAGCTGTACTGCGCTCTCGGTGGGGCCAGGAGAGACCCCGTGGGCAGCCAGGGTCAGGCTCTGGGCAGCGTCTGTCACCTCTGCTAGCTGTCCCAGGCTGCTGACCTCAGGCAGAGGCTGCAGAGGTCTGGGCTGGCTGCTGGCCAAGGTGGGGGACCCCTGCTCTGATGGGCTCCCAGGCACTTTAGATCCATCTGCTAAAGGAAAAGTCGAGTCTCACAGCTCTGATCACAAACAATCACAGAGGATCACAAATATTCTCCTTAGGATCCCTGCTCTGGATCCAACCCTCTAGAAGGTGCTGAGACCAGGGCAAGGACCAGACTCAGGGCGACGACTCCTGAAGGGCTTGCAGACTCAGACGGAAAGACAATCCCAGTAACCGGGCGGGACCAGCAGCGCTCGCTGCTGGGCTGTGGGCTGGGTTTCCCCTCTCGTGGTGCTGAGCGGCTCAGGTACCGGTCCTTGTCCCCACCCACCTCTGTTCCCCCTCACCGCCCCCCCCCACCTTCTTGGCCTCAAGGAACTAGTTGGGGGTTGAGGAGGGGAAGGCGGGGGAGGGGGGGTGCCGATTGGGCCACAGGGCGGGGCACACCCCTTGAGGTCACCAAGCCCTGGATAAAGGGGTGCAGAGCCAGCTAGGCTGACAGAGCCTTCCTTTGTTCGGCGGTCGCATCAGGAACCCAGAATGAAGCTAGTCTTTCTTGCCCTGCTGTTCCTTGGGGCCCTTGGTGAGTGCAGGGACCTGGGGGCGCGCCCCACCGGGTGGGCGCCCCGGTCGCCATACCCCGAGAGATGGGCGCCGGTGTCCCCGCGCCCCGCGGGGTGGGCGCCCCTCTGTCCCTGCGCCGTGCCGGATGGGCGCCCGTGTCCCCGCATCGCACGAGGTGGGCTCCTGTGTCCCTGCGCCCCGCCAGATGGGCGCTGGTGTCTCCAAGCCCCGCCGTGTGCTCGCCCCTCTGCCTCTGCGCCCTGTCAGGTGGGCGCGGTGTCCTTGCGCCCCGCGGGGTGGGAGCCCCGCTGTCCCTGCGCCTTGCCAGGTGTGCGCCGGTGTCCTCGAGCCCCTGGGGGTGAGCGCCCAGAGCCTGCAGCTTGGGAGGCTGCGGTGGAGGGGGTGGGGGGGAAGGGCCGGGTCCCTCCCACCTGCCTGGGGAGGAGCCAGAGCAGAGCTCCTCCCGGCAGATCCCGGAGTTTCTAGGGCTGCGCAAAACGTCCCAACGGGCCTTCTGGGAACCTGTCCCTTCGTGTCCCACCTGGACCTTTGGTATCCATAGGATTGTTGCAGGCTTTTACATGAAAGGAAAATGAGACCCAGAGAGCGTCCTGGCTGGCAGAGGCCGGCTGGGCCGAGAAGGGTAGCTTCATCCCGGCTCCTGCCCTTTGAGGTCAGAACAATGCGTGTCTGCACAGAAGCAATCCCAGGATGCCTCCTTTCAAGAAGTTTCCGTCCAGGCACATGGGGGCAGCATCTGAGTAGCTGACACAGTTCAGGTGCTGGGTTGGGGGTACAGGAGGGGGCAGCTCCAGACCTGTTTTGGGGAGCATGTGGTCCTGAGGGGGGACTGTGGATTCAGAGCCGGCTGGTGAGAGCTGTTGGTGGGGGGTGAGCTTGTAGTGCATTTGGTTGCCCCCCCCCCCGCCGTGTTTGGGGGGCGGGGACTGTGGATCTTGGTAAACCCCTCAGTTGTCCTTCTGTCTCCCAGTTCAGCCTTTGCCGAGGGAAGAAATGAGCCCCACACGTGGGTTCCCCATTCCTGCCGCTGTTCATGCTCTGCGCCACCTTGAAGCATGGTCTCCTCTTTGGCTCTCCCTCTTCACCCCCAGGTCCCATCCGTCACCAAGCTAATTTCTGACACCAGCTCCCTTTTCCCGTCGCTTTTCCATTCCCAGTGCTTTTCTGCTTGGTTCCTGGCCTTCAGTCCACCCCCTCCCCCATTCTCGGCAGAGCCCTTATCTCTACTCTCCATGAGAGAGCCCTATTCCCTCTGGAGTAAGACCTCCTCCGACCGGCTTGGAGGGCTTTCCATGCTCTGACCCCAAATCCTTCACTAGTCCCATCTCTACTGCAGCCCACTTCTAACTGAGCCAGCCCAAGCAGGCAGGCTAGCCTCGTGGCAGGGCAGGCGGGGGTTGTGTCTGAGTGCATAGCTTCAAATCCTAGCCCCAATACTTATTAGCTGTGGGGCCTTGGGCAAGCCACGTAACTAGCTAAAGACACCATTTTCTCACCTGGAAATGATATTAGCAGAACTCACAGTGTAGAGGGTTGGAAGGACCGATGGACAGAGAAGATGTGAAGTGCTGAGTAGAGAACCTGCCATAAAACGTGCTTGCAACGTTAGCTGCACACGGAGTCCGTTGTTCTCGCCTCCAGGAATGCCACCGCCGTCATTACTGGCTGAGGTCCTGGGGAGCTCACTTCTGGTCTGGCATTGGTCTCTTCCAGAGCATCCGTCATACTTAGCATCCTCTTTTTTGCCTTTTTTCTCTCCAGATGGGAGGTGAGGTCTTGTCCTGTGTGCTTACATGTTCCTCTGTATGACACACAGTGCCGTGTATACAGAAGGCATCTAGTAAATGCTACTGGGTCACAAGTGGCTGAATATGACCAGATTAATATTTACGGCAGGACAGTTCCCTGAGGGCATTGGGATAGATTCTACCCTTTGGGATTTCCTGGGATTATGGCCAGTGGAGAGCCACTGTGTCCCCCCCTGTCCAGGGAGCCTCAAATCCCTTGGTGGGTCTGACTGTGCAGGGGCTGGCTCATGAATAGGAGGTAGCAGAGGGCTGAAAGTTCCACCCTAATGCATATCCAAATAGGAAAGCGGCTTTTGCAATCAAGTGTGTGTGTGTGCATGTGTGTGTTTATTGAGGTATATTTTACATATCATAAGATTTACCTATTTCAAGTGTACACTTCAATGATTTTTAGGAATTTTACCGAGTAGCACAACCATCACTGTAAAATCGTTTTAGTACATTTCTACACCTGTAATAAGATTCTTCGTGTCCATTTCTAGTTACTCTTCATTCTCACCCCAGCGTCAGGCCAATTGCTAATTACTTTCTGTTTTATAAATTTGCCTTTGAAGACCTTTCACATACAAGTGGAGTCGTACAGCAGGTGGTGTCCTGTGTCTGGCTTCCTTCATTTAAGCATAAATGAGGCACATTCATATTGTAGTGCATATCTCTAGCTCTTTCCCTTTTACTGCCAAATAATACTCTATCACGTGGATGTACCACAATTTGCCTAGCCATTCGTTCACCAGTGGCTGGACTTTCAGGCTGTCTCCAGCTTGGGGCTTTTCTGAATAATGCTGCTGTAAATATTTACACAGGAGTCTTCCTGAGACATATATTTTTTCTTTTGGGTCTATATCTAGACATGGAATCGCTGGGTCAAAACGTTTAACATTTTCAGAAGCTGCCAACCTGTTTCCCAAAGTGGCTCCAACCACTTTCCATTCTTAGCAATGTATAAGGGGTCCCATGTCTTCATATCCTCACCAACATTTGTTATCCTCTGTTTTAGTTATTATAACTATGCCCAGTAGGTGTGAAATGTATATCTCATTGCGCTTTTAATTTGAGCCTCCCTAAAGACTAACAGTGTTGAACATCTTTTCATGTACTCGTCAGCCATTCATAGATCTTCTTTGGTGAAATGTCACATCTTCTGCCTATTTAAAATTTTTTAAAAAATGTTTATTTATTTTTGAGGGAGAGACAGAGTGTAAGTGGGGGAGGGGCAGAGAGAGAGGGAGACACAGAATCTGAAGCAGGCTCCAGGCTCTGAGCTGCCTGGACAGAGCCTGATGTGGGGCTCAGACTCACAAACCATGAGATCATGACCTGAGCTGAAGTCAGACAATTAACCTACTGAGCCACCCGGGCGCCCCTCATCTGCCTATTAAAAAAATGTTTATTTATTTATTTTGAGAGAGAGAGAGAGAGAGAGAGCAAGGCACAGGAGGGGCAGAGAGAGGAAGAGAGACAATCCCAAGCAGACTCCATGCTGCCAGCATAGAGCCCCACTAGGGGCTCAATTTCACAAACTGTGAGATTATGACCTGAGCTGACATCAAGAGTCAGATGCTCAACTGACTGAGCCCCCCAGGCACCCCTGTGTTTGTATTTTCTTAACTGTCTTTTTTTTAGGGGTTATCTATTTTATCCATTATATGTTTATTTTTATTTTTATTTATTTATTTATTTTTATTTTTTTTTACAAATAGTTTATTGTCAAATTAGTTTCCACATAACACTCAGTGCTCATCCCCACAAGTGCCCTCCTCCATGCCCATCCCCCCTCCCCCCCACGTCCATCAGTCCTCAGTTTTTGTCAGCATTCAAGAGTCTCTCATGGTTTGCCTCTCTCCCTTTCCCCCACCATTTCCGCCCTTCTTCTCCCCCTTGTTCCTCCGTCAAGTTCCTCCTAATCCTCCTATACGTGCAAACATATGATATTTGTCCTTCTCTGCCTGACTTATTTCGCTCAGCATAACACCCTCAAGGTCCATCCATGTTGCTACACATGGCCAGATTTCATTCTTTCTCATTGCCATGTAGTATTTATTTTTTTTTTTACAAATAGTTTATTGTCAAGTTGGTTTCCATATAACACCCAGTGCTCATCCCCACAAATGCCTTCCTCCATGCCCATCTCCCCCCTCCCTCCCCACACCCATCAGTCCTTAGTTTGCAGCATTCAAGAGTCTCTCATGGTTTGCCTCTCTCCCTCTCCCCCACCATTTCCCCCCATCTTCTCCCCCATGGTCCTCCGTTAAGTTCCTCCTAGTCCTCCTATACGTGCAAACATATGGTATCTGTCCTTCTCTGCCTGACTTATTTCACTCAGCATAACACCCTCAAGGTCCATCCATGTTGCTACACATGGCCAGATTTCATTCTTTCTTAACTGTCTTTTGAAATACAGAAGTTTTGAATTTTGATAGGCCACTTTCTCAAGTTTTTTCATTTATGGACTGTGCTTTTGGTGTCATAGCTAATTAAACTTTGCCTCTCCCAAGGTTGCAAAGTTTTCCCCTGTGTTTCCTTCTGAAAGTTGAATTGTTTTATCTCTTACACTAAATTCTATGATCCACTTTGAGTTCATTTCTGTGTATGATGTGAGGTAGGGCTCTAAATTAATCTTTTTTTGTGTGCAGATGTATGTTGTGCTAACATACTGTCCTTCTGCCAATGAATGGCCTTAGTGCCCTGGTCTAATATCAATGGAGTGTAAATATAAGGATTCTGTTCCATTGATCTATAAGTTCATCTTTATACTAATATCACACTGTTTAGAGAACTTTGGCTTTAAAGTATGTTTTAGGAAGTAAAATTTGTTGAGATTTATTCTTTTTCAAAATTGCTTGCCTATAAATATAAATTATATAGAATTATTTTGGCTATTTTACATCAACTTATTTATCTTACGTAAATTGTAGAATCTGCTCATCAATTCCTGCAAACCTCCCCCTCCTCCCAGCCTGCTGGGATTTTGATAGGGTTTGTGCTGATTCTCTACATCAATTTAAGGAGAATTACCATCTTAACAATATTGAATTTATTAAGCATGAACATGTTTCTCCATTTATTTAGATCTTTAATTTCTTCAGCAAAATTTTAATTTTCAGTGTAAATCTTGCATTGTTTTGTTAAATATTTCCCTACGTATTTAATTCTTTTTGATGCTCTTGAGAATAGAATTGTTTTCTTAGTTTTATATTTGGATCATCCGAGCCTTATATGCAAAAATACAATTGCTCTTTGCGTATTGATCTTGAATCCTGTGACCTTGTTATATTTGTGTATTAGTTCTGATAGCATTCTGTGCACGCCTCAGGATTTTCTACATAGAGGATCACATCGTCTGCAACTGAAGACAGTTTTACTGGTTCCTTTCTGGTCTCGATGACTTCCGTTGCATTTTCTTATTACTGTGGTTAGGATCTCCAGTATTATGATGAGTAGGAAAACTGAGGGTGGAGACTCGATCTTCTGGGGAAAGCATTCAGTCTTTCACCATTTTAATGTAATGGTGAAAAACTATAAGTTTTTCATAGATGCCATTTATCAGGCAACCATGCGGTGGTTAAGAGCTGTGAGCACATCTGGTCCAGCTTCCTTCCTAATTGCATCGATTCTACCAGCAAGGTAGGCTCGGTAGGAGAGTCAGACCCTCTGATACAGAGGCGAGTGGTGGTAACTCAGGCACACTCACCCATTTGGTACCCACTCAGTGTAGCTACTGACGAGGAGTCGGGTGTGGTTAAGTTGCCTTGGCATCAGCTGGAGGGGGGGATTCTTGTAGACACCACAGTCTAGAGAGACCCAGATTCTAGGCTGGATTTTGCCACTGCTGAGCAGTCAGTCTCTCAGCCTCCTCAAGAGCCAGTTTCCACACTAACAAAACGGGAGCAAGAATCCCTTTCGTGCCCACCTCCCGGCTCCAAGTGGGACAAGCAGGTAGTAGAGCTCCACAAACTGAGGCCAAAGAGCATCATCAGTTTTTAGAGGTAGGAGATGTGTTGGTGACAGGAAGGGGTATAATCCGGAGTCTCTGACTGGTCTCCTTGCATTTGCTGAGAATCACAACCCCTCCAGCCCGCAGAGAGTGCTCGCCAGACAACAAGACGCTTCTCCTCGAGGAGAGCGGCCTGACTTGGGGGCCGAATGGAGAGGAGACAGGAGGAGCAGAGAGACGGAGGAGCCTGGATAAGTCTGTCAGAAAGTGGGTGGTCTCTCCCACGGGCAGTGGTTGAGCCCTTGCTCCCTGGCTTCTTTCCCCCAGGACTGTGTCTGGGCGCCCGGAGGAAAGGTGTTCGGTGGTGCACCATATCGAAAGCAGAGGCAACGAAATGCTCCAAATTCCAACGGAATATGAAGAGGGTGGGTGGTCCCACTGTCTCCTGCACAAGGAAAACCTCTCGCCAAGAATGTATCCAGGCCATCAAGGTGAGGCAGCGCCGTGTATTGGTTGGGACCGAACTGAATGGAAGGGAATGGAATGGAATAAAATAAAAATGTATTTGCCCCTCCTTCCTCTGCTTTTCTTCCTGGGCACCTATAGGCTGGGAGTGCTCCTTCCACATAGGACACACGGGTATTTTGAAAGCCGATATTAACGTTTTAAAGTGGAGACACCACGTGTGGGGAAACTGTGGTTGCAACACGAATTTTTTTCCTTTTTTTTTTTTTTAAATGTTCATTTATTTATTTTGAGAGAGAAAGAGAGGGAGCATGAGCAGGGAAGGGGCAGAGAGAGAGGGGGAGAGAGAGAATCCCAAGCAGGCTCTGCGCTGTCCGTGCAAAGGCAGACGTGGGGTCCTATTCCAAGAATGAAGAGATAAGACCTGAGTCAAAATCAAGAGTCAGAGGTTAAACCAACCAAGCCACCCAGGTGCCCCTCAACGTGAATTTTTAATAACAGCTGTGCAAACATTCAGCATGACAGCATTCAGTCATACTGAATGAGTATGTAACACTGGCAAAAGACAGGGTTCCTCCGAAAGGTAAAACCTCTCGAAGATTGTTCCTGCCAAACCCTGAGCAAAATAAGTTCAGCTGATCCGTAGTTACCATATTGACTTGTCGGAGCTGCCGGCCAGGGTGCCAAGCTTTGGAAAGACATTTGTGCGACACATTTCCAGAGGTAGAGAAAAGGGAATCATGACTTCTGCATAATTTCAGATTCCTTTTGTTTTTTGAGATATAAGATCTATACCGAAATTTTACTCGTTCACTCAACATATATGTCCTTTGCGCCTGCTATGTGCATGTTGTACGTACTTGACTCTAGCACAGAGTGGGTAATTTGGGTAAAAGTTCCTAATAGGGGTGCCTGGCTGGCTGAGTCACTTAAGCGTCCCACTTGGGCTAAGGTCATGATCTTGCGGTTGGTAGGTTCGGGCCCGCGTCGGGCTCTTTGCTGCCAGCTCAGAGCCTGGAGCCTGCTTCAGATTCTGTGTCTCCCTCTCCCTCTGCTCTTCCCCCGCTCACTCTCTGTCTCTGTCTCTCTCTCAAAAATAAATAAACATTAAAAGTTTTTTTAAAAGTTCCTAATGGGGCGCCTGTGTGGCTCAGTCGGTTGGGCGGCCCACTTCGGCTCTGGTCATGATCTCGCAGTTCATGGGTTCGAGCCCCGTGCCGGGCCTTGTGCTGACAGCTAGCTCAGAGCCTGGAGCCTGCTTCAGATTCTGTGTCTCCCTCTCTCTCTGATCCTCCCCTACTCACGCTGTCTCTCTCTGTCTCTCAGAAATAAATAAAACATTAAAAAAATAAATTAAAAAGTTCCTAATAATATCGAGGGTTATCCCTTAAGAGAAAAAAAATGTAGTTTGAACAAGGTTTTAGGCTATTATTTTACAACTGTGGCCTGGGGAAAAACAGCGCCAGCATACCCTGCTGGTTTAAAATGCAGATTCTTAGACCGCATTGTAACCAATTCAACCGATTATCTGTGATAAGATTGCAAAATCTGCCTTTTTAATAAAAGCTCCATTTGAAACCAGTTTTGCGGGCCACACATCAAAACAAAGTTGAGACAGATGACATGGTTGGAAATAAAATGTGTATTATCAGAGAACCAGGGGACAGGTTAATTTACAGAAATATAGAGGAAAGAGAACTCTCGTAGCTTTTAAGCAAAGAACTGAATTGTGAAGGAAACGGGCAGATTTAAGAATATAAAAAAATTTAACTTATAGCCATTAAAAACGTTAAAAATTTTTTAATGTTTACTGAAAAAAAATTATTTTTGAGAGAGAGAGACAGAGTGTGAACATGTGAGGGGCAGAGATAGAGAGACACAGAATCGGAAGCAGGCTCCAGGCTCTAAGCTAGCCGTCAGCACAGAGTCTGACGCAGGGGCTTGAACTCAGAAGCCATGAGATCGTGACCTGAGCCGAAGCCGGACGCTTAACTGATTGAGTCACCCAGGCGCCCCAATAGCCATTAAAAACATTTAAACAGGGCTACCTGGGTGGTTCAGTGGGTTAAGCATCTGACTTTTGATTTCAGCTCAGGCCCTGATCTCACCACTCATGAGTTCGAGCCCCAGGTCGGGCCCTGCGCTAACAACAAAATAAGTAAATAAACATTAAAAAATTAAACAAAAATTAAACAGAAAGTTTAGAAAATACCACAATGACTATGCACCAGCTCTGACAAGTGATTGTTATGTACTGTATACTCTATAAAGAACTAATTCAATTTGGTTAAGTAATGTAGGGTTATAAATGAAAAACGATATGAACAGAGTATCACTAAGAGGAAGTTTATAATTATTAAAAATATAAAATTTAGTAACCGGGGGAATGCAAGTGTAAGCAATCTGTTAGAACTTGCATTTTCTTTTTTTTAAGTTTATTTATTTATTTTGAGAGAGACAGAGACAACTTAAGCAGGGACGGGGCAGATAGAGAGAGAGAATCCCAAGCAGGCTCCACGCTGCCAGTGCAGTGCCCAACGTGGGGCTCAAACTCACAAACTGTGAAATCATGACCTGAGAAAAAACTGAGTCAGTCACTTAATGGACTCAGCCACCCAGACGCCCCAGCACTTACATTTTCCAAAGTAATGGCAATAAAACAAAAGCCTGCCTTGCTGGTGATTTTATAGTGAAACTATCTTCGTGGCTGGTGGCCTTCCAAATTGGCATTGCGAATCTTCTGGAAAGCAGAGTAGCAAGAGCAGCCAGGGCCACCAAGATAAACATGCTATTGTCTGAGTGATTCTACCCTCAGATGCCTATCTCGAGGCAATAGGGCATCAGAAGGAAAAATTCTATGAGGGCAAAGCTATCGATGCAAGCATAAATTTCATAGCAAAAAGCAAGTGCTGAGCATCTGAGGAGTTATTTGGCAAATTGTAGAACCACAACATTATGATAAAATATTATGAAGTCACTAAAATCAATAGAAGCCCTGCGGAAGTATGAAAATACATGCCATTTTAGAGGAATGAAGCAGTCCACAACACATTATCTGTACCAGATGGCAAATATAAGAAATATGGAAGTATATGAGAGGTGACATGCTAAGGAGAACATGGTTTATTATGATAATTTTAAGGTAGCAGAAGAGTTATATTTTCTATTCAGTAAAAAAGAACTCAAAAGAAATCAGTATAGGGTTTTCTAGGGAAAGCATCTAGAATAAACAACTTCATTTATTATTACTTGTATTAATTTATTTGATAAAGAGAGAGAGAGAAAGTGAGCAGGGGAGAGGGGTGAAGAGGAAGGAGAGAGAGAGGTGGGGGGAGTGAGAGAGAGAGAGAGAGAGAGAGGGAGAGAGAGAAACAGAGAATCCCAAGCAGGCTCCACACTCAGGATCCGCTTGAAGCCTGACATAGGGCTCGATCCCATGACCCTTGTCATGACCTAAGCCGAAGTCAAGAGTTGGATGTTCAACTGACTGGGGCACCCCGGTGCCCCGAGAATAAACAACTGTAAATGTAAATGACTGTGAAGAGCAGGAGCAATGAGGTGATACAGGCAGGGAGGCTCATGAGAAAGAGACAATATGCCAACCTTGGTAGTTAAAGCTATTGGGCTGATGCCATTGCCTTCAAAAAAGGGAACTTTGGCTCATCCAACCAAGCGAACATGAGTGAATATGACCCAAAGGTGACCGTTCTAAAGATCCTTCCAGCCTTTTGAAGATCCTTCTAGATCTTTCTGACCTCCTGAAACCCAATTGCCTGGGTTAGGGCGGGCTCTCTCCTGCAGCTGGTCTGGCCTCTTTGCTTTCAGGCAAACAAGGCAGATGCTGTGACCCTTGACAGTGGTCTGGTGTTCGAGGCTGGCCTGGACCCCAATAAACTGCGCCCCATAGCGGTTGAGGTCTATGGGACCCAAGCGGGTGAGTTCTCCCTGGAGACCCAGAAGCTGGGGTGGCCCTGGCCTTGGCCCTGGGCTCTGTGCAGCCAGAATGGATGAGATCTAGAGGTGGGGTCTCAGACACCATTTGGCTTGCCGGGAACAGAGTCCCTGGGCTCCCTTGGCCTGATGCTGACCCAGTGCGGGAGGACACTCGTGTGCTCCCTGGGGAAATAGAGCAGGTCTGAGGAAAAGGCAGCCTATCGCTCCCCTTTCCACCAGGGCAAGGTCAAGTTGGGCTGTTTCTCTCCCTCTGGTTTGGGATAAGAGCTTTCAATTCTCTCTGTCCCTTTGCAGAGCCCCAAAGCCACTATTATGCTGTGGCCATCGCAAAGAAGGGAACCAACTTCCAGCTGAACCAACTTCAAGGCGTGAAGTCCTGCCACACAGGCCTTGGCAGGTCCGCCGGATGGAACATCCCTATGGGGATACTTCGCCCATTCTTAAGCTGGACAGGGCCACCCGAGCCCCTTGAGAAAGGTAAGATGGTGGGAGGATTATGGCCGATCTCTGGGCGGGGTTGCACACGCAGGCCACTTTGCAAACATGTGTGATGAACCCCAGCGTGCCCACCGCACCAGTGGCCCTTGGGAGGCAGCAGCTGAGTCTGTTGTCGGCCAGGGTGCGTCTCTGGGCTCCCAGCCTCACACACAAGGCTGTCCCGCAGGGGTGAGGCTGTCCCACAGAGGTGGAGGATGGGCTCTGTCTCCCTCTCTCTCTCTGCCCCTCCCCAGTTTGTGGTCTCATCCCTGGGAGGTGCGATGAGCTGTGGCCAGACTGGCTCACACTCTGTGGTCTATTTCTCTGCGTTCAACAGCGGTGGCCAGTTTCTTCTCTGCCAGTTGTGTGCCCTGCGCGGATGGAAAAGAGTACCCCAACCTGTGTGGCCTGTGTGCGGGGACGGGGGAAAATAAATGTGCCTGCTCCTCCCGGGAGCCATACTTCGGCTACGCTGGTGCCTTCAGGTGAGTGAGAAGGCCGTCTTCTCCCCAGTTGCCTGAGCACCATGTGTCCTCAGGCCAGGGCACCTTTCCTCTGGTCCCAAACGCAGCCCAGCCTGCTGACAGGGGCCACAGAGCAAGTCCTGTCTCCTCCTGGTGGGCAGATGGACATACCAGGTCCAAAGAGGGCACCGGCTTTGCCCAGTGCATGTGCCCCTCCAGCCCCGCCCCCGGGTCCCCCCACGTGCCCCTCACTTCTGCTCCAGCCTGTGAGCCATCACCCTGACAGTGGTCATTCCCTGTCCCCGTAGAGACCTGACTCTGGCTTTGTTTGGGCTGGGACATCCTGGGCTCCCTTGCCCTCTCCCTACCCACAGAGGGACTGACGGGGTCTTGTCGGGAGCCGACCAGTCCCTCGCTGCCGGAAGGACAGCTGGAGTGTCCGGGCTGATGGGGTCTGCCCTGCGCAGGCATCTCCTCCAGCCGGGAGACAGTGAGCTCTGCCCGACTGCCCCCTGCACCCCCGGCACCACCACTCCCATCCCCCCCACCCCCGTGCTGAGGCTGACCTACCTCTCTCCCCACATCTGCCTCCTGAGCTCAGGCCTTTTGGCAGACGCTTGGCCGCCAGCCAGCGCACATTTGCCCACTCGGTCCTGGGAGAAAGAACCACCTGCTCAAGGATATAGAGGCTTCAGACCCTTTTATATAGAAAGACCCGCTTTGCCCTTCAGCCCCTAAGGCGGGAGGCGGGGGGCGCTGGCCAGCCCCTGGGCCATCCTCCCTCACAGTCTACCCGGGGGTGCTGCCCGCCACCCTCCCAGATGGGTGGCTTCAAAGCCTCAGAGGAGGTGGGTCCCAGCGCCCCGCTCCCCCAGGAGGCATGAAGAAGAGGCTGAGGACAGCTGCTGACCGTGCTGACCCTTCTGGGGCTTTCTCATCTCACAGGTGTCTGCAAGAAGGGGCTGGAGATGTGGCGTTTGTCAGGCACAGTACAGTGTTTGGTAAGAGGCGGGAGAAGAGATGTGGGTACTGCCCCCTTTTATTTTATTTTCCCGTAATTCTGAGTGTTGAGCTAACTGGACTCCCCTCTTCTTGGCACGTGATTATCAAGCTTCCCTACGGGCCATGCCTCTTATTTGATGTTATTTCCTATTTTACTTTTATTTTATTTAACAAATTTTTAGTGTTTGTTTACTTTTGAAAGAGAGAGAGAGAGAGAGATAAAGCACAAGTGGAGGAGGGCAGAAAGAGAGGGAGACAGAATCTGAAGCAGGCTCCAGGCTCTGAGCTGTCAGCACAGAGCCCGACACAGGGCTCAAACTCCCAAACCGTGAGATCACGACCTGAGCTGAATGTGGACGCCAAGCCGACTGAGCCACCCAGGAGCCCCTATTTTATTATTCTTTTTTTATTAAAAATTTTTTTAGAGTTTATTTAATTTTGAGAGAGAGAGAAAGAGAGAGACAGAGCATGAGTGGGTGAGGGGCAGAGAGAGAGAGAGAAAGAGAGAGACCGAGGGAGACACAGAATCTGAAACAGGCTCCAGGCCCCGAACTGTCAACACAGAGCCCAATGCAGGACTTGAACTCACAAACCATGAGATCATGACCTGAGCCAAAGTTGGATGCTTAACCAACTGAGCTACCCAGGCGCCCCTTGTTTCCCATTTTAAAGCATGAATTTTCTCTAAATCCCTTAATGCCCACCACCTCTCTTTTCCTCAGAGATACCCCCGCCTTGGTACTTGACATGGGCTTTTGGGTTCTAAGCCCACAGAAGTTTGAGCATTAGAGACCTTGCTGCTGCCAAGATTGTCCGCTCAGCAGTTTGTTTTGGAGATTTATCTGTGTTGTGCGTATGTCTCATTCAGTGGTCCCAACGGCTGAGGAATGCTCCTCGGAACTGGTCCATCAGCTTTTACTTATCTATCACCTTAGATCATCTTGTCCTTCCCTCTACCACAAACAGCTCCATGACCCAGCTCTCCTCTGTGTCCTCTGACTGTCCTGCAGGAGAAGATTCCTGAAACACCACACACTGACGCACATTTCTGGGCATGCACAGGCTGAACACATTCTTACCAGGACCACCAGAGACAGACCCACCCCACTGACCCGGGACCTCCAGAAATAGGCTTACATTGACCATCTCAATATGTTTACTAGTCATTTCATAACCTTGATTATTTTTCTATTGACTTTAATGCCTGTTTCTTCATGATTTTGATTAAAGGAGAGGCATTCTTTCCTTTTTAAGTTTATTTATTTATTTTGAAAGAGGGCAAGAGTGAGTGGGGGAGGGGCAGAGAGAGAGAGACAGGGAGAGAATCCCAAGCAGGCTCTGTGATGTTGGTGCAGAGCTCAACGTGAGGGTCAGACCCACAGACCGTGAGATCATGACCTAAGCTGAGATCAAGAGTTGGACACTTAAATGACCAAGCCACCCAGGAGCCCTGGTGTTCTTCCTATTTAGATATCAAGGCATTGTTGATTCTAGACTTTAGGAAGATCTTTTCTTGGTTAAAAAATGTTTTGGTCAATAGCACCTTTTGTGGAACAGAAGTCCTTGATATTGATAGGCTTAAATCCATCAGTTTTATCTTGTTGGTTTGTGCTTATGGGGTCTTTTAAAGATGCCCTCTTAGGGGCATCCAGCTGGCTCAGTTAAGCATCTGACTCTTGATCTTGGCTCAAGTCACGATTTCTCAGTTTGTTTGCTGGAGCCCCGTGTCGGGCTCTGCACTGACAGCCATGCTTGGGATTCCCTAACCCTCCACCCCACTCACTCATGCACACATACTCTCTTTCTTTCTCAAAATAAATGAACTTAAAAAAAAATTCCACCCTATATATGGAGCCACTTCAAGTTTACACATAGCTATGGATCTGTTTCTGAGCTATTTTGTTTCTCTGGTGTATTTGTATTTTTCTGTTTTTCTTACCCAAGCCTGCACCCTTAATATCTGGGTATCCCATGGGGAGCAGAGGTGGGATTGGTGGAGACATTTCTCACCCTACACTTTGCTGTTCATTTTCAGATTTTTTAAAACTAAAAGTGTAGAGTTATTTTGCTGGATTTCTAAAAACGTCACATTTTAAATTTAATTAGAATTGTTTTGAGTTTAAATTGGTCCATGGGGAACTATATTCCTATGTTAAATTCTCCAATGCCTGATCGTGATAAATCTTCCTCCTTTGATCATACCTCTTTTTACGTCCTTTAATAGAACTTACAAAATTTCTCTTTGTTTGTCTTTTGCATTTCTTTGTGTGCGGTTGGCTACTAGCCTTAATGGTTTGGGTTGCTATTATAGCCTCTGATATTCTATATTAGCTTCTGCTTGGTTGTTGCTAATGAGAATAATACTTGATTTTGGAAGTGCTACCTTGCTGGATACCATTATTGGTTTTATTCCTTCTTCCTTGGTTTTGTTGGCTTTTCTATGTAGATGACCACATCATCTTTACTTTTTAATTTTAGCTTTTGAGGGGTGGGAGAAGAGCACAGGGAGAGGGAGAGAGAATCCCAAGCAGGCTCCACACCCAGCACGGAGCTCGGTCTCACAACTGTTGAGATCATGACCTGAGCAGAAATCAAGAGTCAGACGCTCAATGGACTGAGCCATCCAGGCACCCCCATGGATCACATCATCTTTAAATAAACTTTGTCTTCTTCCTTCCGGTGGTTACATCTCCTTTCTTTTGTCAGTTGTGTATACCAGGCCATCCGGCACTGTGTTGGCAATATGACAGCTGACATTTTTGCTTTGTTCCTGATTTTGAAGCGAATGCTTACATTTTCTTCTGTCGGTATGCTTTTTCTGTAGCTATTTTGATAAATGGTATTTGTCAAGTTCAAGAATGTTACCAAATTCTCCATATTACTAGTTTCCTGAAACAAACAAAAAAACCCAACCACAACTAGATGTTGAACATACACATGCTTTTTCTGCATCTGTTAAGATTATCTCATGGTGCTTATTAATAATAATATGGAATATTTTGGCTTTTTTAGACGGTTGACCATTCTTTTGTTAATGGAATAAACTGATAAGCCTTAATCCTGATCTATCAGTTTTCAAAATACTCTGCTGAGGTATTCTTCCTGTAATTCTTCTCTCTTGTATTGCTCTCTCTGATTTTGAGATCAAAGTTGTACTAATCTCATAAAATGACTTGGGCAGGTTCCTGTCACTTTACATATGGTCACTATACATGCTTCTATCTGAGATACATTAACACTTCCACATTGGGCTGACCTCACTCATAAAAAACAGACTTTTCCCTTCTTTTGATAACGCCTCATGTTGGGAAGTGATTCAACTGTACATCCTGCCTTAAAAATGTTTGTAATTGTTTATTCTTTCTAGAGAGGTGGGTAAGGCAGTGCCCCCTGGCTGGTGCACTGGGATTGCCTCTGCCCTGAGACCCTTTCCTAGGAGGGGTTGCCATAGAAACAGATGGGGTCTGGTTCAGCCTCCTTGGCTGACCGGGCAGCAGGTGCAACAATCCCAGAGCAGCCTCTATGATCCAGAGAACACTGGGCCCCCAAGGCTTTCTGGCTACTATCTTTACTTTTTTGAGAGTCCTGGAGCAATCCACTACCCTTCTGGCCCCCTACCCCAGTTTTGTATGATGTCTCCTCTAGCTCACGATGTGGGGGAAGGGGAACTACAGCTCGCGGTTAATGCCTACAGTGGGCTCATCTGGGTTCCCCTCCGCCTCCACCTTTCGCCCAGAGACCCTGCCAAACAAGGCCGACCAAGACAAGTACGAGCTGCTCTGCCTAGACAACACTCGGAAGCCGGTGGATGCATTCAAGGATTGTCACCTGGCCCGGATCCCTTCTCACGCTGTTGTGGCCCGAAGTGTAAATGGCAAGGAGGACTTGATCTGGAAGCTTCTCCAAAAGGCGCAGGTGTCTACCTCCCCCAGCCCCCTGAGGCCCTGCCCACTGGCTTGGATTTGCTGTGGGGAGGTTCCTTCCTTCCAGAATTTCCTGTTGCTCTAGAAGTCCCTAGACTTCTCTCTTTTGTGCAGCCTCTCTGCACAAAAGTTAACAAATTCGGTGTGCCCTGGACAGCAGAGCCAGTAAAGGTCTCTCCGGGTTACTGATGAGCGCCGTCTCAGCGGCTGGAGCAGCAGCAGGGGGCAGGATGAGGCAATATTCTCAGGACCCGGCGGTGCCTGGACCCTGGCAACTTTTGAAGCCACGGCTGACCGAGCCACGGGGCCAGTCCCTGCACACGAGGAAGGGAACCAAGGTCCCCACCGTCAGCATCAGCCCCACGCTCCAGATACTGTGTTTCAACATTGTGCTTTTCTTCCCTCTCCATGTCCCTCTGACACTGTACTTCCATTTCCCCTTAATTAGGAAAAATTTGGAAAAGAAAAGTCATCTGCGTTCCAGCTCTTTGGTTCCCCTGAAGGGATGAAGGATCTGCTGTTCAAAGACTCGGCCATTGGGTTTTTGAGGGTCCCCTCGAAGGTCGATGCTGGCCTGTACCTTGGCTTCAACTACCTCACTGCCATCCAGGGCCTGAGGGAAAGTGAGTAAGGCCCGGCAGGCCCTGGGGTCAGGCTGGTGGGGGCGCTAAGCCCAGGGTGAGGCCTTCCAGAAAGGACTCTCCCCTCCGGCAGTGCAGCCCTGCTCTGAAGTGGCCTCCTTTCCATTTGAGGCAGATGCCAGTGTACTGTCAACCAAGCCAGGGCATTTTAACATGCCGGGAGTCTCCAAACTAATGTGACAGACACCCAGTTAATGCCGCTATATGTCCCTGGCTCCGCGGCCAGGACAGAAACATCAAATTGCCTCCTTATGAAGTAAGAAATATGCACATGAACCAAGAGAATGGGGGCCCCTCCTGGGATGAATCTGGAGACCTGGTGAACGAAGCTCTGGGCTGGGGCCCTGGACTTGACCGGGAGACCACAGGAGGCCGGCTCAGCCATGGCTCCTCCTCTCCCGGGGGTACTGAGGTGGAGTCAGCCGGAATCAGGACTCAGTTAATGGTGGTGATGGACTTAGGGGAGGTCAGGGCTGTGCTCAACGTCCCCTAGGCCATCTCTTGGGCGGCCACTGTCCATGTCCTCGAGATTTTATCCCGTGGGCAAGTCACTGCCACCAGGGCTTGAAGGGTGGGTTAGAAGCCAGAGAAGTCTCCAAAGGAACGGAAGTAGGAGGCCCGGGGTGACGGCGCCTGGAGAAGGGGTTGGGCTGCTCAGAGTGGAGGGGGAGAGCGGCAGGTGCCCCGCACTGGGCTTCAGGGCAGTGGGCGGCGCCTGGGTGTCCCCACCAGGCTCTGGCCCCACGACCTGTGTCCCTGTGCGCAGAGGCTTCGGAAGTGGAGGAGCGGCGCCAGCGCGTTGCTTGGTGCGCGGTGGGCAAAGAGGAGGAGAGCAAGTGCCAGCAGTGGAGTGTCGCGAGCCACGGGAACGTGACGTGCGAATCGGCACCCACGAGCGAGGACTGCATCGCCCTGATCCTGGTAGGTGGGCGGGCTCCGCAGGGGGGTGTGGTGGTGGTGGTGGTGATCGCGACCCGGGGACACCAAGCAGGCTGCGCACGGGCGTTCTGAATGTTTGTGGTGGGCTCTGGTTTTGCAGAAAGGAGAAGCTGACGCCCTGAGCCTGGATGGAGGCCTGATCTATGTCGCTGGCAAGTGTGGTTTGGTGCCTGTCCTGGCGGAGAACCAAAGTAAGTCGGTGTTGCGGGGAGGGTGTCCTCTCTGGTTTATTCCGTCTGGCCCATGGGAGTAGTAACTCCACTTGGCGGGCCCAGGTGGAGATGCTGAGATGGACGGATGCATTCAAACAGGGGAGTCAGGGGGAGAGAATAGATGAAAGAGACTTTCACCCACCTGGCCTGCTGTGAGAGGTGACAAAGCACAGATCGGTTTCCTCTGCTTCATTTAAAACAGGATTTTAGTCAAATATAATATACATACAGAAAAGGGCCCATAAGTGCAACTCAGTGACATGTCACAAACTGGTACGTCTCCATGCACCAGTGGCCAGATCAAGACACAGCAAGTTCCAGATGGCCCCGGGAACCCTCTTGCCACCAGCCCCCATACTCCAGCGAGGGTAGTAACCCCTGACTTCAAACCGCAGAGATCAATTCTGCCTGTTTTTAAATTTTTTAAAAAACTTTTATTCATTTTTTGAGAGGGAGATGGAGACAGAGTGCAACTGGGGGAGGGGCAGAGAGAGGGAGACAAAGAATCCGAAGCAGCCTCCAGGCTCTGAGCTGTCAGCACAGAGCCCGTCGCGGGGCTCGAACTCACCAACGGCGGGATCGTGACCTGAGCCAAAGTCAGACGCTTAACCGACTGAGCCCCCCCCCGCCCAGGTGCCCCAATTCTGCCTGTTTTTAAACCTTATACACAAGGCATGTGCTTTGTACGTCTCTTGCTCAGTGTTATGGCCGTGCGATTCATCCAAAGAATATTGAATCTCGTTGCTGTATGGTGTGTGTGTATTCTGTGGTGTGACTCTATTAGTTATCTGTCCATTCTCCCGGGGAGAGGCATCTGGGTCATTTCCAGTTGGTGGCTGTTGTGCATGTGCTCCCGTGAGCATCCGTGTCTGTGTCTTTTGGTGAATTCACACATATATGCCTTTCTGCTGCATGGGATTCCTGGACGGTCTCTTTGGATTGGATCCTGCATCACTGAGATTTAAGCGTTTGTGGCTTCTTAATAAAGCTGAGTGTTTAATGACATTTTGCTTGTTTTTGTTCCTTTCAGAATCACAGGAACCTAATAACGGACGTTGTGAGGACAGACGAAGGGAAGGTGAGTTGGAATCTGCTAATTTCAGGGTCATGGGTAAGTTCTCATTGCCGGAGGAGGAGGTGGAAGGCACTTAAAAAAAAAAAACAAAAAAAACCAACCTCACAGAGATACAGCCATAGAAGCCATGAGTTCTTTTGAAGAGGAAATAATTCGTAGATGAGTAAGTGTAATTAATGTTCTACTGCCCTTCACACTTGGCAGAGAACTTTCAGAATTCTTCATCGCGTTCTGGCCCTGTGGAAGGAGGATGTTACATCCCTGTCCCTTAGGGATGAGGAACCAGAGGCCGGGGGAGACTCCCGAAGTACCCCGGGAGTACTCAGAGCCTGGAGCCTGTTTCTGATTCTGTGTCTCCCTCTCTCTCTGCCCCTCCTCACCTCAAAAATAAGCATTAAAGATCAGCTTTTCTTATCTCAATTCATAGTCTAGATTGTTCTTACCTCCCCATAGAACAGCAGCTGAAGCTTCTGCCAATAGCCAGATATCTGAGGGCGTTGTTGCCTGGTGATGCCTCGTGACTTGCTTTGGCTTGAGTTGCAGACGGGTGCCCTAAAGTCCAATGCCAGGCCCCCTGGAGGTTAAGGCCTGCTCTTCTGTTGTTCAAGGTTACCTTGCTGTGGCAGTTGTCAGGAAATCGGATGCCGATATCACCTGGAATTCTCTGAGAGGCAGGAAGTCTTGCCACACCGGCCTGGGCAGGACTGCCGGCTGGAACATCCCCATGGGCCTGCTCTTCAACCGGACGGGCTCCTGCAAATTTGGTAAGGCCGGGGGGCGTCGTGGGCGGTAGACACTTCTAGCTGAGGAACCTCAGGGAATGGCGGGGGCGGGGATGTGCAGGCTGACTGTGGCGCATGGGCTGCCTTCGGGGTAGAAGCGTTCTCTGTGTGGCTCCCTCCTACAACACTGAGTGGGTCTCTACCCAGCACTTCCCGCGCCCCAGCCACCCCAGCCCAAGATAAAACCACTGGAGTATCAGTCTGTTTCTCTGCACCCTCGGAGTAGAGGCAGGTTTTGAGAAGTAGAGCTGTTATTGTTATTATTTTTAATCTCTTGGAGCTCCAGATCCAAATTTCGCATAGGCTCTGGCTTCCTAACTTGGGGAAAGGCCCCCGCCTGCCTCATGACTTCTTGCCCCACGTTGCAAGGAAACCACATAAGGCCTCAAGGGTTCTGGCTCACCTGCTTCTGGGGCCTTCTCTCCCCACCACACGCAGGCTCACACCCCATGCCCTACCTGTGGCGGGCCTGGTTAGATGGGCGTATGTGGCACGTTCCCGCCGGGGCGCACCTCTCGTGCGGGGCCCTCCTGCATTTGGAATGGATTTGGATCCCGGCTCGGGCGGGCTTCCATGCGGCTCTGGTCCGCACCCCTAGCACTCGCTGTCGTTGCTCTGTCCAACCCCCGTGGCCGCCTCAGGGCCCATGGAGGTCTAGTTCCCGCTTCTGCTTCCCACGTGGAGAATGAGGAGGGGAAGAGAGGAAGAGGCCAAAGGCCGGTGCCAACTGTCTTTTAAGGGTGTTCCCCAGGTGCTGGCACCCAGCACTCCTGCGTGAGTCTCACTGGCGCCTTCCTAGCCACACGGCTCAACGAGGCACGGGGCGGCTGGGAAGGCTGGTCTTTACTCTTAGGGACCAGGAGCCTGGGGCCGCAGGGTTTTTATTTCTGAGGAAAGGGAACATCAGATCCTATGGGGCACCGCCAGGTTCACCAGCTGAGTCCCCAGCTCAAGGCTGTAATGACGGGGCCCTCTCTCTAGTGGTGACAGACCCTCTTTGCCGGCCGCAGTCAGGTTTGCCATCGGTCCTGCAGTGAGAAGCTACTCTGATTCCCGGCGGGCCCTCGGTGGGTGGTGGCATGGTGGCATGCTGCCTTTGGCGACAGGGAGCGAGCTCTGTCTGCCCTGGGCAATGTGATGAGCCCAGACCCACTTGCGTCGCATGCTGGGTAAAGGTCTTTTATCTCAACTCCGGTAGGAAGAGCTGACTTCCATGTTCCTTCTCCGCAGATGAATTCTTCAGTCAGAGCTGTGCCCCTGGGGCCGAACTGAGCTCCAGTCTCTGTGCGCTGTGTGTTGGCGACGAAAAGGGTGAGAACAAGTGTGTGGCCAACAGCACTGAGAGATACTTTGGCTACAATGGGGCTTTCAGGTGAGTGCGGTGGCCGAGCTTCGCCAGGACCGGGACTCGCCCTCGGTCCCTCCCCCCCTGGCATCTTGGCAGTGATTTCTAAGGGGCCAGCTGAGGCCTGTCCCAGCAGAGCCAGCGGGCAGCCTGGAGGTCCGCTAATGGGCTGCTCCTCCCTCCCACAAGCCCCTGCAGACAGTGGAGGCTGGCAGGGGGCTGTCTGGCCTCAGCTCTGCTGGGCCCCTCCCTGTGGTCTGGGGCCAGCGTCGGCCTCATCCTTCGAATCAAATGGGGGAGAGTAAGTGGTCTCTTAAGTCCCTTCTACAATTCAGTTTGATGGGGAAGCCTTCTCTTCCCTGTAGCCACCACCCTCTCCCCTGCTCCCGGCTGTCATCACGTCTCACATTTCACTTTCCTCTTTGATTGCCGCCTTAGAAATGGCAAAGACAAAGCAGTATTGCAGTGTTACTCCCCACTAGGAAAGTGAAAGATAAACCAAAGCATAGGTTTTTCAGTATTCACCAGTGATAACCACTTAGTGAGTCACAGCAACTATCCACAACTCGAAATTATAATCCCATTCCTGTGGATGCTGGCCGTCACTTTTTGGGCAGGGGGTGGGTAGGTGGCTGGGAGAATCCTCCTCAATCACCAAGAATATATTTCACCTCCAGATGGCGCCATGGATCTGACAATGGCAGTGGCCAGACTTGGGACTTGGAGCCTAACATTTTTTTTATAGTTTATTTATTTATCTTGAGAGACGTGGAGAAAGGGCGAGTGGGGAAGGGCCAGAGAGAGAGAGAGAGAGAGACAGAGAATCCCAAGCAGAGCAGAATCCCAAGCTGAACCTACCCAATATGGGGCTCTAACTCACGAAACCGCGAGATCATGACCTGAGGCGAAAAACCAGGAGTTGGCCACTTCACCGACCGAGCCACCCAGGTGCCTCTGAGCTTTTTAATACATAAATTCAGTAAGCCTTTTCTCCAGTGACGGGATGCTATAGCAGTAGCTTTTACTGTAGTCTCAGTGGCTCATACAAATATTTTGTGAACGTACCAGAATATCTTTAAGGGGTTGCAAATGGAAGACTTGTGATGTGATTGCGCTCAGAAACATTGAGTAGACACATCTCTGATCCAAACCCAAAGGAATCATGGGTTTTCTCTTTTAAACCTGTGGGAAGGTATTATTTCACTGGAAACTCCTACACCTTGGTATTCCTGTTTATACTGGAAGGAAACGCTTTGTCTTTTGTTCACATTGAGAACTGGGACCCTAAGTCTTGTTACCACTGTATTTCTAACTAACATCCTTATAGTGCCAGTTCTTAATTTTCAATCATCAGCTACTTTCTGCAGACTTTCTATTCTGGAAGAAGAGGTTCTAGACTCTCCTGTGCCTGTTCCACTTACAACCACCCTGCTTGTAGCCTCCAAAAAATTTATGTCATGTTCAGTGCTGATGTGACTATGAATATGTAAATATCATTCTCCTATTACATGTGTGGTATAATAAGGTTGTACTTCCTTTATTGCACAAAGTTTTTGTTTACTCTAGAGTTAACTGGTATCTTATTTTTTATTTGCTTAATTTTCTGTGCTTAAAAAAAAAATCACTAATTCATCTCAAAACCCCTAGGCAGTAGTGTAAACCTCCTAACAATGCACACCCAGAGTGAGTACTGGCCTGGGTTCATCAGATGCTGGGGGAATGTTGCACCTGCATGGTAAAGGCTGGTTTTCTCCAGCCTCTTGCATGCGTGGTCCTGGGGTTCCCTTGACCATCGTGCTGGGATTTCCCTTTGTTGTACTTTGTGTTTAAATGACCTGTTTCCTGAATCCCATATCTTTCGCTTTCTTGGTTCTGTTGGCATAGAACACATCTCTTTGAGAAAGGGGGACTTGGATTTGCTGTGTTTTGAGTATTACATGTCTGAAAACATCTTTCTTCTTTCTTTGAAATGACTCATAGTTTGGCTGGATAACTAAGTGGAGGTTGAAAAACATTCTCCCTAAGGATTTTGACACGATTTCCATATCTGGGAAATGGTAGCGTTAGCTATTTTGACTGATTCTCTCACTAAGAACAAGCAAAAGTGCTGGATTAGTACACACGTGCGCACACACATGTTCTTTAACAATTTTTTTTAAATGTTTTTATTTATTTTTGAGAGAGAGAGACAGAGTGCCAACAGGGGAGGGCAGAGAGAGAGAGGAAAACACAGAATCTGAGCTGTCAGCACAGAGCCGGACATGGAGCTCAAGTGCACAAACTGTGAGATCATGACCTGAGCTGAAGTCAGACGCTTAACTGACTGAGCCCTCCAGGCGCCCCTTCACACACATGTTCTTTAGAGTATTGAGTAACTGACAAAGTAGTAAGGGACTATTAGACTAAACTCTAAGGGAGACTAGGAATTCAGAGAGCTAAGCGTCTACTTTGTCCTCAGGACATCTTCCTGACATGACAGACATGAACCTCGAGTTTACCTACACCTTTAAGGTAGGAGTGAACCGGAAGTAACTTCCACTCCTAGGGGACATCAAGTTGCTGGATGCAGAGGAAAACAGGGAGGGAGAATGCATACCACCCTCTGAGAAATGGAAACTATGAGCCAGCTCCCGAATAGATTTATAGCTCAGATTTGGATCCCCTAGGATGATCCAGAAATTCTCGACTCACAAATATCTTTAAAAATGATCCCAGGGGCACCTGGTAGCTCAGTCAGTTAAGCGTCCAACCTTGGCTCAGGTCATGATCTCTCAGTTTGCAAGTTCGAGCCCTGCATCAGGCTCTGTGCCGATAGCTCGAAGTCTGGAGCCTGCTTCGGATTCTGCGTTTCCCTCTCTTTCTGCCCCTCCCCGACTTGCAGTCTCTCTCTCTCTCTCAAAAATGAATAAATGTAAAAAAAAATTTTTAAGTAATTATAATAATATTAAGCAACACGCAGTGGGAAAGCTACCAGAAGCAAAATCCAGCAGAAAAAAACAAGGTAGTATTTGTATAATAAAAGAATGCATAGAACTTCTGAAAAGGGAAAAAAACCCCACAGCAACTGAAACTAGCTATGCAATTGACCAGATTGACAGCATAGACGCAGTCAAAGGAGAATTAAGGAAGATATATGAAAAACTATCCAGAATTTAGTAGAAAAACAGAATATACAGCAAGTTCAAAACATTAAAAGCATTAATCCGTTGTCCTCAAAATCTAGAGCTCTTGTTGAGAAATCAGATATCACTTTGGATTTCTGATTCTTCGTATATGACACTTCCATCTTGAAAAAACTCTAATTTTGAATTTTGAACAATTTATTTGTAATTTCCTCATCCTGAGAGAATAATGTTCAGAGGGCTTAGAAAGTGCCCTAGACGCATAGGTGTCTGCCAGGAATGCTTTACGAAGAGTAAAGAAATCAGAAACCTATAGTTCTTCTCTCTTACATGTATATTTCTCTCTAAATTCACAGAGATTTAACAATGAGTGAAAAATACCTTTTGGGAAAAATGCATTCGGGGTTTTATCCAGTGTAACACGCTTCGACAACAAGTTTCTTAAAAAGTTGCTGAGTTTTTAAAAAACATGATTTTTAAAAATCTCCAGTATTCTGAAACTTCACACTGATATTTCCGTATGTAGGTCTCCTTTTCATCCTTTGGGTTTGGGCCCTTGGTGGACCCATTTCATCCGGAAGCTCAAGTTGTTCCGTTCTGGGAAATTTTCCTTCATTATTTTTGATGATTCCTACGCTGTTTTCTCTGGTTTCTCTTCAAATTTGCTTCCCTTTAATTCGTAAATTACAGACTCCTGGATTAGCATCTCATTTCCTTCTTATTTATTTTTTCCTATGTGCTTTTCTTTATCTTCTAGTTTCTGGCATATTTGCTCAGCTTAGCCTTCTAATCGTTCTGTCATTTTTGAGAATTTTTATGATGATGGTTCTTCAACTTTTTTTTTTTAATGTTTTATTTATTTCTAGGAGAGAGAGAGAGACAGCGTGAGCAGGGGAGGGTCAGAGACAGAGGGAGTCACAGACTGAAACAGGCTCCAGGCTCTGAGCTGGTAGTCAGCACAGAGCCTGACGCGGGGCTCGAACCCACGAACCGCGAGATCATGACCTAAGCGAAAGTCGGACGCTTAACCGACTAAGCCACCCAGGCACCCCGGTTCTTCAACTTTTTAAGACTCTTTGTATTCTGACCGCCCGTTTTTCAGACTTTGCATTCTTGTTTCAGGAATGCTGCCCATTCATTTCTTTAAAGACATTCATTGTAGTTTTTTAAAAGTGTTATTCTCTCTCCTGTGTTGTCTCTGTATTTTCTGAGTACTATTACTTTGGTCTCCATTTTTTCCCCTGGTATTTCTTCAACCATCCAGTGGTTTCTGGCCATTTGTCCCTATTTAATAAGGAAATACTGGAGCTGTCACAGGTCTGCCTCAGGTAGCACATCTTGGCGTGTAGGGGCCTCCCCTGTGGGGCAGGTGGTTTGTGTCATTTCACTGTGGGGCATCCGAATATTGGAATCGACAGGTATTTTTCTTGGGTTGGCCAGCTTTTCCAGGAAAAGAATCACCCTGTATGCTTCTCCGGAGGCTGAGGAGGGGAAGGGGTTATGATTTAATCTTCCAGAATAGAAATTTTCAATCTGCTTTCTGATTTCAGTGTTGGGCCTCTGCCCTCTGCTGTGCTTGTCTATCTGTCCATAGTGTTGTTCAGGTTCAAGCTCTTGTGAACAAACCTTTGGTCTTCTGTAGGGTGGGGGGAGGGGGAGCGAGCTCCCAGGTGCCTGGGGTGGGAGGGCACCTGGGACTTCTAACTGGTGAGTCTTCCTGGAGTTCTGCCCTGCACATCCATTTTCTTCTGAGCTTCCTGTACTTCTAGCTTATGGTGCGGCTATTCTCTGCTCTGCTGGGGAAACCACTGTTCATTGATTTGCTCTCCACCTTCCAAACATTGTCATATTATCTTCCCTCCCTCCTGCCCTTCTCTTGCTCATGGTTTACGGTTTACAAAAAAAACTCTCTAATGTAAAAAAAAATCTCACTAATGTTATTTCATTGGGATCTTAGAAGCAGGGAAGGTTCTAAGCTTGAACATCTGTGTTCAAGCTACCGTTTTAAATCATACGTTCCAGGAATATTTGTCTTTGTCTGTCCCGTGTATATTATAAATGTTTGTGAAAACCCTAATAGTTTCTCTTCTCTGGCAATGTGTTTATTTTCTGGAACATTTTAGGTGCCTGGCTGAGAGGGCTGGAGACGTCGCCTTTGTGAAAGACTCCACCGTCTTGCAGAACACGAACGGTGAGTGAATACGTCCCAGTATTCAGATGTGCAGTTGGGAAGCTCTTCTTACCTTTTCCAGGCTTTGGATCTAGTTAATTCCAAAATTCTTTACCTCATTACACACCATGGTATATCTGTGAGTGTCACGTTGATTTTGAAACCAAGTTCCCTCTCTGTCTCTGTCTCTGTCTCTGTCTCTGTCTCTCTCTCTCTCTCTCACACACACACACACACACACACACACACACACACCAGCCATGCTCAGTAGCAAATGTCTCTCTGGCTTTGTCTAGTCAACCATGAACCACACCATCTGCCTGTTCCTGCCTATGGACCACTGAATGTGGATGATACTAAAAACAATTTGATACATACAAATACAATTTTCCTTTTTTTAAATGTTTATTTACTTTTGAGAGAGAGAGAGAGCACGAGTGGGGGAAGGGCAGAGAGAGAGGGAGACACAGAATCCGAAGCAGACTCCAGGCTCCGAGCTGTCAACAGCGAGCCCAATGCGGGGCTCGAACTCACAAACTGTGAGATCATGACCTGAGCCAAAGTCAGACACTTAACCAACTGAGCCACCCAGGTGCCCCAATTTTCCCCTTTTAAAAAAGAAAGTAAGGGGCTTCATTTGGACCCATGTGAGCTCTCAGTCTGGAAAACTCCTTGGGAGTCACTGGGGACAAAGTCACAGGCAGATACAGATAATGGAAGATGAATGATAATAATTGCCAACTTTAGCACCCCTACATCTGACTGCCTTCCAAACTGCCGCCTTCTACTGCAGTCCCCCTCAGCCCCCACATCCCCCAACAGGCAACTAGCCACTTCACCCCCCGAGAAAGAGCCATCTGGACTTCCTGCCAGCCTCTGTCCTTCAAATATCGGCACTCACAGCTGCTGCCCCCTCCGTCTGTCCTTCCCCATAGCTCTTGGGAGAGGAACTGAGGACAGACGCGTGAATTCGGAATGATCTCAGTATCAAACAGACAAGGCCAAGAGAATGAAGTGTTTTTTAATTTTTTTAGATTTGAGAGAGAGAGAGAGACAGAGACAGAGAGAGAGCACGCAAGCTGGAGGGAGGGGCAGAGAGAGAAAGGGAGAGAGAGACTCATGAACAGCCTACATACTCAGCACAGAGACTGACACAGGGGCTCCACCCCACGACCCTGGGATCATGACCTGAGCCAAAATCAAGAGTCACTTGCTCAGCTGACGGAGCCACCCAGGCACCCCTTTTTCTGCGGAGAGAGAGCTGAAGGAGAGAAGCAGGGGCCCAAGCAATGAACCTGTATTTGCACACACTCAGATGTGCATACAACTACATTTGAATTTATGAGCCATCACTGTTAGTGATGTCCAAGGATCACATTGATGTCAGGTGTTTTATTGAAGGATAATTACCCTGCAGTGTGATGGCAGGTTCAGATATACTGTATAGGGATTCGACACTTCTGTACATTCCTCAGTGCTCCTCAGGATAAGGGGACTCTTGATCCCTGAGAGTGATGTCAGATTTAATTGCATGTCAATTACTTTGGGATTTCACAACTGTGTTTTACTGGAATTTACTGAGCATATTCGATAAATGTATAGAGGTTCCTCGCCTTATCCTAGTTATAGCAAGGTCATCTGAACACGAAAGGAAGCAGAAAGCAATTTCTTCTTAACCATGAAACAGATAATCCTTTTTCTGGAGCTCACCAGAAAATATGGCATGGATGGAAGGGGTTCTTTTTAATTCACACTATGAAAGCCATGCATTCAGTGTGTGATTCAGTGGTCTCCAGCACATTCACAGAGCTGCACGGCCACCCACACGGTCCGATTCTAGAAACTCACACAAGCCCATCACGTGACCCTGTGCCCTTCCCCCGTCTTCCAGAGTTGGCAGCTGTGAGTCTACTTTTGGTCTCTGTAGATTGGCTTGATCTGGGCGTTTCACACAAATGGAATCATGTGGCCCTCTGCAACTGGCTTCTTTCACTTGGCATCATGTTTTCAAGGTCCATCCACGTTGTAGAACATGTCAATGATTCCCTCCCTTTGACTGTTGAATCCTGTTCCCTTGAACGGAAGCAGCGCTAACGTGTGATATATTGGAAATTTGTGCAGGCAAAGCTTCCTTCCCTCTCCCTCGCGTCACTGACACCCTCCTGTGTGCGTCTCAAGAGGCCGGTGGACACGTCCAGCCCACCCAGAGAGGACCTTTGACTAAGCTGGACAGCCGTGGCTCATGCCGCCTCTTTTTCTCTCCCCAGGAGAGAACCCTGATGCATGGGCGAAGGATCTGAAGCCGGAGGACTTTGAGCTGCTGTGCCTCGATGGCACCCGGCAGCCTGTGACGGAGGCTCAGAGGTGCCACCTGGCCAGGGCTCCGAACCATGGCGTGGTGTCTCGGGGAGATAAGGCAGAACACCTGGAGCAGGTGCTGCTCCACCAGCAGGTGCGAATCCCAGAGCCTCCTGCCCTTTCTTAACTGCCCGGGCTCTCGCTGGGCGGGGCGCTCGCAGGGGAAGCTGCCCACCAAAGCCCTTCTGTCTCGTCCCTTCACCTGACGTGGGTGGGGCCAGTGTTGGCTCGTGCTGAGGAGCTACCCGGAGTCTCTGTGAGACCAGCAGAGGCATCCACATTTGTAATCTCTAAGAAGACACACCCAGAACGCCTGTAGATTTAAGGGTATCTGTAGCAAGTGGTTCGGAGGAAACTGCAATTTCCTTAAAGTCTGGGATTCTCTTTTATTTTTTTAAAAATATTTTTTAATGTTTATTTGGGGGAGGGAGAGAGGGAGAGGGAGAGAGGGAGAGAGAGAGGGAGAGGGAGAGAGAGGGAGAGGGAGAGAGAGAGGGAGAGGGAGAGGGAGAGAGGGAGAGGGAGAGAGAGAGAGGGAGAGGGAGAGAGGGAGCAAGTGGGGAGGGACAAGGAGAGAGGGAGACACAGAATCTGAAGCCGGCTCCAGGCTCTGAGCTGTTAGCGCAGAGCCCAATGTGGGGCTCAAACTCACAAACCATGAGTTCACGACCTGAGCCGAAGTCAAGACGCTTCACCGACTGAGCCACCCAGGTGCCCCTGGGATTCTCTTTTCGAGCTTCTAGTTTTGTATTAAAACGCCACGCATCTAGGTGTGTTTAAAGACAGTGCCCCCAGCATAGTAGTAATAGGTGCGTCACCTTACTGTGGCGTCTCACCAGAGCTGGTAAGAGGGGTTCTGCCCTCATGCCTGGGCTTGGAGGGGGATCTGCGGCCACGGGAGGCTAAGCGACCCGCCCAAGACAATGACCTGCTCGGAGGCAGAGACTTCCAATGCAGACGGCTCCTCCGGGAGAGCTGGCCGGTTGGAATGCTGTGGGTGATCTCCGGTGTCCTCAGCTGTCACCTGGCCACCCAGAAGTTCTAAGGGAAAAGGCCACAGATTAACAAGGGGAAGGGGGCAGGAGGTGGATCAGAGGTAGGGAGGGGGTCCCAGGCACTGCCTGGCAGGTCGGCCACCCGGGGCCCGGGCTGCGGGATGACCTGCTGGCAGGGGGAGGCTCAGTCGAGGCAGCAGAAGGACTCCAGAACTCAGCTCCTTCTGTTCCGCGGGTGAGCCAGGGCTGAGCCGGGATGGAAGGCATGTCCTTGGCCTCTCCCTAATCCACACGTTTTCCTGTTTCCCTCAGTGACTCGCTTACTGTCTGCCCTTTTGATACAGGCTCAGTTTGGGGAAAATGGAGATAAATGCCCGAGAGAGTTCTGCCTGTTCCGGTCCAAAGCCAAAAACCTCCTGTTCAATGACAACACCGAGTGCCTGGCCAGACTCCAAGGCAAAAGGTCGTATGAAGAATATTTGGGATCGGCATACGTCACGGCCGTTGGTAACCTGAGACAGTGCTCGAGCTCCCGTAAGTAGGATGCCCGGGAGACACCACCACGCGTGAAGGGCAAGGTTGGGGGGCCGAAGGGCATTCCAGGAGCGAAGATGGGAATAAAAATGTTAAGGCAATGAGATATCTCCCTGCCTTGGGAAGTTATAGTCTCACTGATGCAGTGGAAGACTCAGGAAAAATAAAGCAGTAGATTATATAGTAAATTTTTATAATCCTGATAGTGCCTGTCGTGCGGTTTTTAGAAACTGAGAATTCATTGTATTCGGTAGAATGAAATGTGTGTGTATCTATATGTAGGTATAGGTACCTATACCCCCCCACATATATGTATGTGTATATATACATATGTATTAAAAAATGACAAATTCTGGTCCCTAGACAATTATCATAAATACCAACTGTCGAGAATACAAATTCTCAGTAAGTATCTTAGCCAGGAAAATATATTGACAAATAAGTCGCTCCTTGTGAAACATTTATGAGACATGGCAGTGTTGTAAGGCTCCAGGCAGCGATTCTAAAATGTCAACGTGCATTGTCTCCCCTATTCAGGGGATGGGGGGGTATCACCTAGAGTCTTATTTCCCAGACCTCATGCAGACAGTCTGGAGGCATCGGGATGGTGGGTGGTCCAGGGATGGTCCCCAGAATCTCTGTATCAGCTGTTCCCAAGCAGGCACAGTTCTCCCCGCGCCCCGGGGACATCTGGCCGTGCTTGGAGGTATTCGTGATTCTTACAACTTAGGCGACGCTGCTGGTGTCTGTGGGCAGAAGCCAGGGATGCTACTAAACAAGTTACAGAACAGCCCTCTCAACAAAGAATTCCCCGGCCCCAAATGTCGATAGTGTCCCTGTTCTTTACCACCCGGGATCTCAGGGGACGGTGACCCGGTGGTCCTTGGGCGGGCTACAGTTTGAGAAAGAGGCCGTCGGGCCGTGCCTGGGAGCAGCGGGCTCAGGACTGCACTGACCGCGTGCCCCATGAGGCCAGGGCCCGTGCGTCCCTGCCAAGCCCCCAGCACGTAGCACAGTGACTCGCAGAAAGCAGGCCCCCTCGAGAGTTTGTGGGTGACTGAGTGAACCGGGGAGCAGATCTGCATGGAGATGAGGGCGTGGACTGCCCCCTTTCAGACATGAGAGGGCCATCGTGTCTTGTGAACTTGAGTGTGACAGTTGATTCCGTTAGAGACAAATGGGGTGGGGGCTGTGTCCGTCAGGCCAGGGCAGGACGTCCCCCAGGTCAGCGAGGGCCGGAGCGGCTGGGCCGGCGTGAGGAGGAAGGCAAAGGGGGACATGTGAGCCAAGCTCTGGCCGCAGGCAGGGGAGGGTCTGTGTCTTAGTGCCCTCCTTGCTGGAACTATTGAATAAAAAAGGAAATGAGTTTCTGAATCTTCTGCTTTGGTGTGTCCCACAGCGCTTCTGGAAGCCTGCGCCTTCCTGAGGAGGTAAAGCCACCTGAAGACTCCGGGGCCTCCCTCCCTGCTCTGCCCCAGGCCCGCCCTGCTCTGGGCCCTGCCCGGGGCACTGGGCTGTTCCCCCTCCGGCCAGTCACCTGCTTTCGCAGCCCCCTGCTGTCATTCTAGCAATAAAGGAAATGAGAAAGCGGGTTGGTTTTCATTCCTTAGAAGGCATCCTTCATCTTTTCTAGAATTTTATACTGAAAACGTGTCTGATGGAATACGGGCCCAGCTGTGCTTTTCCTGTGTGTTTCCCAGGTCCAGTGCCTCCTCTTTCCTGCAGTTTTGGGTTCGGGGCCTGCTGGTCTGGAACCAGAGGACAGGCCCAGGAGCTGGGTTCCTTGGGGGCATCCGGGCCTTCACGCGATTGTTGCCATGTGTGTGCAGGTGTGCATGTGTGCGTGTGCTGGTGTGTGTGTGTATGTGACGTGTCCGTGTGTGCATGCACGTGCACCTGTGTGTGCACGTGTGATTGTGTGTGCGCATGTGCCCTTGTGTGTGTATGTGTGCACACGTGTACGTGTGCATGCATGTGTGCGTGTGCGCTTGTGGATGCATGTGTTTCTAGGGCAGGGAGGGAATAGGGAGTAGGATTGGTGAGTATCCCAAAGGTTTTTGATTACTTGGTATTTTCAATAAATTGCATCAGGTACAGTGAATGTACAGATACAGGCGTCATAGGGAAAGGTGAAAACCTTTAAAACTTTTACTTAAATGCCTATTTTTGAGAGAGGGAGAGCACGAGCAGGGGAGGGCGGAGAGAAATGGGGACAGAAGGTCCCAAGAGGGCTCCAGGCTCTGAGCTGATGGCAGTGAGCCCGATGCAAGGCCCGAACCCACACTCCTCGAGATCATGACCTGAGCTGAAACTAAGAGTTGGACGCTCAAATAACTGAGCCACCCAGGTGCCCCTGTTTTGATTTTTAGATTCTACATGCGAGTGAGGTCTTTCTCAGTCTGACTTATTTCACTTAGCATGACACTCTCTAGGTCCACCCATATCTTCGACTTAACTTTGGTAGCACATCAGAAGTATATAAAGTGTCTTGATGTTTCTTGTGATTCCAACATTAGCTTTCAAGTGATTTTACTACAGTGTATGTTTCATATACAAGTGCTGTTTTGCCTTGTAATGTTAGGTTGAGCTTATTAAGAGACAACGGAGGGGCGCCTGGGTGGCTCAGTCGGTTAAGCCTCCAACTTCGGCTCAGGTCATTATTTCACGGTTCGTGGGTTCGAGCCCCGCGTCAGGCTCTGTGCTGACAGCTCAGAGCCTGGAGCCTATTTCAGATTCTGCATCTCCCTCTCTCTCTGACCCTCCCTTGCTCACTCTGTCTCTCTCTCTCTCAGAAATAAATTTAAAAAATTTAAAAAAAAAGGAAACATAATGGATTCGGCAGAGCAATTTAATTTTCAAAGCCATTCAGTGTTCTATAAAATAGATAAGGACCATCCTTCTTGTTCAGAAAAATTTCTGTCGTGGCCCTGAACTCAATCTGCTACTGCCGAGCCACCACACTGCTGTGTGGTAGGGTGAGTCACGATATGAAATTTTTATTTCTGAAAAAAATCCACAGAATTAAAGACAGTTAAGCCCATGGCAGCAAATGGGCTTCACTGTTGAAACTGCTGGTTTAATGCACATCGTAAATTCCAATATTTCCCACAAAGCACTGCTAGTGAATAACCATTGACTTTACAAGATTTACAAGATTTACAAATCTTGTAAATTTGGCCACATGAGACTTTTAACTCCCATCAATTATCACACGTATCAGCAGATCACACTTCAGACTGTACTGAATTAGTGTTCTGTCCACTTCCTTCAAAATATTCTTGCCTGGAGTTATTTTGTGCAGACGATTCACGTGGTAAGAAAACCTAGTGAATTCCAAAGAGCAAGTCACTTTTACCTTTTTATCTGTAGCTTCAGCTAGCCAGTTTCTTCAATTGCCTGCAAGAAAATGTGCCCGAACAATTACTTGTATATCAACTGGTTGCTTCTAATTTGGAATGTGGTCTAGTTTTAAGAATACATATTTATTTCGTGTGTTTCCTTGCCCACTGTTTGGCAGTTTGGGGGTGCTGGACAAATAACAGGTTCTAGAGTGAGTGGCACTCAGATTTGGGTCCCAGCCCTGCCACTGTCTAGCTGTGTGAGCCTAGACCAATTTCTGAGCCTTAGTTTCATCCTTAGTGAAATGAGATAAATTCCATCTATACCCACAGACAAGTGTTGAGGCACGAAGGGGCTCGTGTTTGCAAAAAACCTACGTAGCACAGCACCTGAGACAAATTCAGTGCTCCCCACTTTTCTTCTCATACCCTATTTTTAAAAATATTTTCACGTTTATATTTTATTTATTTTGAGAGAGAGAGAGAGCGCGCACATGGGCGGGGCAGTGAGAGAGGGAGAGAGAGAGAATCCCAAGCAGGCTTGGCACTATCAGCGCAGAGCCTGATGAGGGGCTCAAACCCATGAACCATGAGCTCATGACCTGAGCTGAAATCAAGAGTCTGACACTTAACTGACTGAGCCACCCAGGTGCCCCTTGTCTCATATCCTATTTTGCATACAGGTGTGTAAAAGTAAATACACAAAAACAATGCAGCAATACAAAACCCAGTGTTCATCCTGCCGTTGACGGAAGCCAGTTTACACTTTGGTGGAACGGTCATGTTCTTCCACGGACACATCTTACACGGGATCCTCGGTGGCCCGAAGTGGCCTGTCACGCCACAGACAGCAAAGATGGCAGAGGTGTCTTCGGAACGTGGTGTCGAGGACCACGTGGAGCAGAGGGCTGACGCAGCAGTGGGTGGCAGCGACAATCCTGGTGATCTGCACGCTTCCATCCAGGCGGTAGCTGCTGTTGCAGTCGTGTAGGGAGAAATGTTCTTTGAAGGTAGACAGGCAGAGTGCAATATTGTAGGGCCCCCACATCAGAAGGAAAACAACCACTACGGCAAACACAAGGTTGTGAGGGTGGTCCTCCCGTCCCCTACACCTCAGTGGTTTTCGCAGTCGAGCGTAGCAAAACGTCAAGACGCACAGTGGAATAAGGAAGCCCAGAATGGTCATCTTTAGGGACAGAAAATGCTTCCACTTCACTTCATCAGCTGGCAGGAAGTGAGGTCTGCTGAGGAAGCACTCGTATTTCTGGCTCTCCATCTGAGGTTCATAGAATGCCAGTTCAGGCAAAACGGCCAGTGTGGCCAGGACCCACACCAGGACACTCGAGACGATGTCCCAGCGCACCATCCTGGCGGGGAGGAAGGTTCTCATGTTGAAAAACACCAGGTATCTTTGCACGATCAGAAGGACGTTGAAAAAAGCCTCACTGTACAGGCCTGTGGAGGAAAATGCGATGAGAATTCTACACATGGGGTTGCCCAGAACCCCACCATGGGATGCGGCGTAGGCCCAGAAAGGCAGGGAGAGCAAGAAACATAGATTTGAAAACGCCACGTTTAGGAAATAGACTTTTTCCGTGTGCCTGAGTCCTTTGTGTTTTGCCAGGATAGGCACAGCCAAGGTGTTGCCCAGGAGACCAGCCAGAATCACGGAGCTGAAGAGCAGAGGGACCACCCGGCTCGAGAGAAGTTTGGCGTCGTACGGAGGGCATGTTTCCATGTCATCGCCATTCAGGTCCCCCTCTATGAGGACGTCGTAGTCCTCCTCCGGGGCTGATGTGTAATTAGTCATCTTCAGCCCGCGCTGGGGACAAGCGAAGGGTTATCTTTCCTTCATACAGCTGGGTGGTCCTGCAGGGGAAAAAACATCGGATTAGTGTCCATGAAGCCATACTTTCCCTCTCCTGGCATTTCGTTGTACCCGGAGGAAGTCTACATCTCAGAAGGCTGACACTAAACATTTCTGCCACACATCCCTGCTTGCGGAGTGTGGCTACTATAAGGCATCCCTTCCTTCAGCCCTGAGGTACTTCTAGGAGGGTACTAACACCACAGGGGAATAAAAGGAAACCTTCTGCATCTTGAGGGCACTTCATTCTCCTGGCGGAAACAAGACTTGCCTCGCTGAGGACACTGTCTAAGAAGCCACCAAGAGGGCTGAGAACTGTGGTTTGGTTTCATTGTAATCGGTCTCGGTCCTAATTTCTATGTGTTCAGAAGGTCTGCTCACCCTGTGAAAGAGCTTCCTGTGACGGGCTGGCTGGCGACTGAGTTCTCCTCTCGAAGGATAGAAACAAAGGTTTGCAAAAGTGAAACCATCCCCAACCATCAACAGGAACGTCACTGGTCAAACATAGAGATGACTTACCACTTGACAGAGTTCCGGGGGTGGGGAGGAGGGCACGGCTTCCTGGCCCACCATCTGAGCTGCTGTGGGAAAGGCCTGAGGGCAGCTGGGAGACCGGCTTTCTTCTGAGCAGACAGTCCGGACCTGTAGGGGCAACAGAAGCCACTTTTAGCCCTCGGTAGGTCTACGTCTACACCACGAGCCCCCGGTCTCGAGGAATAACCCAAATAAAGCAACTCAAAAGCTCTTGCAGACCCCTAGAGTGTTTCTCAAGCCTCTGAGCCAAACCAGGAAGTTGTTTTCTCCTCCCGGCTCCCCCCCCCCCTGCCCCGGACCCCGCCTTTGATTTCCCCGTGGCCTTTAGACAGGCGTCCGGCTGGCTGCCCCAGATAAGGGAACTGGCTTGTCACTGCTGTTCCCCAGCGATACTAGGTGGCGTGATAGGAGGGCTCTTCTGAGCAGGTAACAGCCAGCAGCGGAGGAGAAAGTGTCCTGTGGTAGCTCTGTGTCCAGACCCTGGGGCCTGGCACTCCCCTGCAGTGGCTCAAAACCACAGGGCATCTAGAACATTCCGGGAGAACCACAGTGAGTGGCATATGCTTGGATTTTCCTTGTCACTGTCGAGAGACATTGAGCTGTGGCTGAGGGGTGGGGTCCCGAGAGAGGACCTGGTTGGGACAAAGGAAGCCACGAAGGGCTGTTACTTGGGACAGGGAAGAGGGTTGCTGCCGAGATGCTCAGTACCAGTGAGCGTGGGGCTGCTGTGGGATTTGAGGAAAACCAACAGAGGGGAAAACCCGCAGTTAGGCAAGCCGCGAGGTGACGACCCTGCTCTGAGAAGACGCCAGGAAGTTCCATGGAAGCCGTGCCAAGTCTGGGCTACAGAGGCGGTGAGGGAACACGCCACCCCCTGACTGAGGCAGGGGTGGGATGAGGTCTGAGGCCAGAGAGAAAGGAAGCTGGGAAGAGTCCAGATTTTGGAGGGTGGGAGGGATTCGCCGGTGGGGGGCTGGATGAGGGTGGCTTGGAAGAAGGAGGAGTGTGAACCAGCTGGAAAGTCTGTACAAACTCCCTCTGAATCAATTCTCTGTACCTGTGACTGCCCTAACTTGGGGGCCAGACCTACACTGTGGCTTAGCATGCACAGAGTTGGTAAAATGACATCCTGTTAATGGATGTCAGAAACGTGTCTGACATAAGCATTTGACACGGAGCGTGGACCTGCGGAGATGGAAATAGAAATGAGCGCACTATTAAAAGAAAAGGAAAACAAACATCAAAGGGCTCAGACAAACATGTGGTCCAACATTACATTTCACTCAAAGATGATGTTTTTCTGCATGGAGGGGTTTGGTGTCAGTGGGAACCCTGGCTGTGAGCATTTCCCAGCAAGCCTTGCCCCCAACAGGCTTCTGTGAGTGAGCGGGAGGCACCCAACCCGGGAAGCCTTGCCAACTGGGCATAGCTCTGGGACCAGACGTGGACCGTGAGCCTGGAGCTCTACCTCCCACGCGTGCCCGGGCTACTTGGAGCCACACCAACCCTACGACCCCAGAACCTTGAGTGAGTAAGGGATGCTGGCTCATGGTGCCTTACTGTCTGAGTCTCACTGATCCATCCCGGGTGAGGCAACGAGTAGTCAAGTCAACTCCAAAGCATGAAAAGCCCCGTGGCTATACACACGCACACTATGTGGTTAAATAGAGGAAAATAGCCGCCAGCAGGACCTCAGGGGTGTCACAGAATTGCATGGAATTTGAATTTCCCCAGGAAAAACACTGGAAATTCAGGGTCACCCTAACTTCCTGATATTAGTACAGTCTTCACTTTCAGTATTATTTTATTTTGACTTGATTCCCAACATTCTGCTTATTCACACTCAGGCCAGGGAGTTTTTCCTTTTTTTTTTTTTTTTTTTTAAATTGAGATACAATTGCCATCTACCGCTGTGTAAGTTTAGGGTGCACAGTGTATTGATTTGAACGTTTATATTGCAGAAGGATCGCCATTGCAAGGTCAGCCAGCATCTCAGTTCCTGCCTCGCCACCACCACTTCTTCTAGTAGTGGGAACAATTCGGATCTATTCTGCTGGCAAATTTGATGAGTATTATACAGTTCTCTTGCTTCTAATCACTGCACTGTGTGTTAGACCTCCAAGGCCACGGATTCTAGAAACTTCTAAATTGGTAGGAAGGAAGGCTTTAGAGGTCTGAAGCGGAGGCAAGAGGAGAGTGTTATCACCATTCTAACTAGCTGGAGCCATGAGAGGGTGTCTTCACCATTTGTGAAGCCTCACCAGGTTCTGTGAGGTTTCCCCAATTTCAGCCTAAGAAAGTAGGAAACTGTAACTCTTGTTTCCCTGTACACACAGATCGCTCATTGATTCAATTCACCTTCTCCGCAAATATGTATAGAGTGCCTAGCATATGCCCGGCACCGCTCTGGGTAAGCCAGGTGAACATCAATGAACAAACTAGGCAAACGTCCTGAACTTCACGGCACTTACATGCTGCAGACGAAACAGAATAAGTAAGTAAGTTGTAAGGTCGTCAGAGAGACGTTCTGTAGAGAAAAGCAAAGCAGGAAAGAGGGTAGGAAGGGCCACGGGGGTTCAAGAGTTCCCATCTTACACAGGATGGCTCAGAGGAAGCTTGGCGACAGGTGTGCACAGGAGCGGCACATGATGGGGCCCGATGACGAATGCTCACGATCTCATTTTTCCCCCATTACTAAGGGACATTGGAAAGCATGTGATTCAGTGGGTTGCAGTCACACCATCTCCAACAAGCTCTGAATCTCATCCTTGGGATGGAAGGCACCTTCCAAGTGTGTTCCTCCCGGGAACTAAACGGAACTGAAAAATTGAAGCAGGTTTCTTTACTACAGGACTTCTCGGAACTCTTAGTCTGCTAATAAGCATGGTGATCCTCCCCGAGGAAGAGAGGGTTTGCGGTGTTTCCCAAAATGGTTTGACCGTGGAACCCCCTTTTATGTTCGCAAACAGGTACTTAGGGGCCACCGGCTCCGCAGAACACAATTTGAGAAGTGTTGCTTTTGACACACACACAGTACTGCGTCAAGGGGCGGCCATGGGGATGGGCCTCCGCCTCTCTGAAGGGAGCCTAGTGACCAAAACACACTCACCCTGAAACACACCCTCACCTTCCCTCCAAAGGCCATGCTTACCAGGGACTGCTCCGGCCAGTGACCTTCTTAGGGACACCGGTGCAGGCCCAGTCCTGGGAGGTGGGCTCCTCTGATGGTGACTTTGGCTGGTGCTTCCCCCCACCCCCAAGCCTTGCCCCCTCCTTCTCTTCTTTACTTGGAGGTCAGATCTGCTCTGTGACCCGTGGCTTTCCCGGCTTCTCCTGTCTCCCTTACGGTCTCTCAGAGACTTTTCCTGTAATACATTTCTTCTACGCCACATCATCCCATCTCAAAGGAGCCAAGCTAACGCGGCCTCGGAAGGGAGGCATCCGTCTCTAGACTCTTGAGCCCTTGGCTTGCTGGAGAGTGATCACGCTTTGCAGCACCGCGTCCCATCTATCTGTGGCCTGCTGGGATCGCGCTTTCTAGAACACATGGGACCAGGTGTGCTGTCACGGCCCCATCTGGGTCAAATCCTCAGGTCACGTACCTTCTCTGGTTCTCATTGCTATCTTCCTCGGGCTACCTTTGCCTTCAGCTCACTTCTCCATGCTCCCTTCCCCCCATGATCTTCCTCAGTCAGGAAAAGAGAGATATATGTTTTCACTCCTACGTGGAACTTGAGAAACTTAACAGAAGACCATGGGGAAGGGGAAGGGGAAAAACATAGTTACAAACAGAGAGGGAGGGAGGGAGGCAAACCACAAGAGACTTAAACACAGAGAACAAACTGAGGGTTGATGGGGACGGGGTGGGGAGGGGGGAATGGGTGACGGGCATTGAGGAGGGCGCTTGTTGGGATGAGCACTGGGACTCCCTCTGGAATCTGAATTCCACAACAGACTCTCTTGCTGACCTCCTTAACGAATCCCAGAATATTCCTAACATTTCTCATCCCTGGAGGATACTCCTTCCCTCTCACACCTACCTCCGACTTGGGGGTGAGGAGGTGATATTCCTGTTTCCCGTGTCACTTGCTCCCAGGTGTTGCTCCCAGGTATTGAGGAGATGCCTCCGGTCCCCAGCCCTCTAATTGTATCACCCTCTGCTCCAACAAATCCCTGCTTCCCCCCCTCCCCCTCATCTTTTAAAAAATAAAGCCATGAATAATGAGCTGCTGTCCACCCCAACTTCCTCCATGTCCCTGGCGACTTAACCGGCCATGGTGACCCCCATCCAGTACCGGGTCATAATGTCCATGAACTCACGAATTGGACTTCACTCAGGTCCGTTAATGCCGATTCACCGCTGGAGCCTTGCAGCACACTTTGCTCACTTTCTTGATTACAGCTTCCACTGCTCTGACCCCTCTCATTCCGTTCACTTTCTGCTCCCACCCGTGCTACTTCCTCAAGCCCCCCAGCCTCTCCCCCTGAGACCCTCGGGTGGTCACATCCCTCCTGTCTCACGGGGATCCTAGTCTATCACTTAGCCGCTCTCTCCGGTCAATACCCCGCTGTCCCTTGAAGCCCCGGCCTTAGATCAGCCCCCTCCATCTGCTTCTCCTTTTCATTCTTTCTCTGAGTATGTGTGTTTGAGGATCGCTGGTTAAAACCACTTAGCCACAAAGAGAAGACCTATCAGTAATTTGTGGGCTCCCATTTCAGCTAGCTTCTAAGACTTTTCTAGTCTCCCTTCTGAGTGTCCCAAATTGTTCCCTTCTCCTATTTTCCATCAGCTGTTCCAAGCACCCAAAACTTCTTCTGGTGCCTTCGAACCCCCACTGCTGTCGCCCACACTTGTGCTCAAGAGACGGCCCCGTCTTCTGCTTTCCTCCACTCCCTGGGCCCCGGCTTCCAATGTCATGATGGCATCTCCATTCTTTCCTCCGCCATGGATGGGGCCGTTCCTCTGATATTAAAGGTTCATTTCTCCTCTGGTGCTCTGGCCTCCAGCAGCTGTTTCTCCCTTTTGTGTCAGTTCCAGTGTCTACTGGATTCTTCATGATATTGAAATGCTCTGGTGTCTCCCTTAAATAAAGATGATAAACCCATCCTTTCCGATGTTTACAGCAGCGCTTTCAACAATAGCCAAGTTATGGAAAGAGCCTAATGTCAATCAACTGATGAATGGATAAAGATGTGGTTTATCTACACAATGGAATACGACTTGGCAGTGAGAAAGAATG